AAAAGTGCTGGAGCCAAACATCATTGCAGGCTCTCCTGTTTTTGATTTGTTCCCAGGTTATTAGTGAGTACTTCCCCACAGAACAGGCCACAGACTTTATTAAGGCCACATTGGGTGGTATGCTGTCTGCCAGCCCCACGTGTGCCATGGCAGCTGGACTGTGGATGAAAATCATCCTGAAGGAGTGTGGAGATGCCATGCTGGACAAGGTAAAACGGGAAACTGGAGAGGTTTTCTGCCTAAACGCTAGGCTTTTAGATCTTTGCCCTCATGTGTAATGAGCAAAAATCTTTCTGTTTCTCCGCCTCAGACATAGAGTCAATCCCATCTCTGTTCCTACCCTAAGATAGGCAATGGCAGAATCAATCGCAATAGACAGAGATAATCCAAGGGAAAAGGAAGATGGTTGGTTATTTATTTGTCTAGCTTGTTGCCACAGTATTCAGCCAAGAAAGGCTTGAAAAAACAGACTCTGGGGAAAATACAACAAGACAGAATGATTGGCACTTGGAAGCATCCAGTTATTAGGAGGCCTATGGCTAAGGGCTACCTGGATAAAAATAGCACTGTGGTCATTCCCAGTCAATCTGGAGCCTGGGCTCTGAGACCCATCCTCTTGCCAGGTTTCAGAGCCTGGGCTCCAGCCCGAGCAGGAACTGCTACACTTTCACACTGCTGTGGGATTTTTTTGCTGCGTAGACGTACCCTTTAAGAATAGAAGGGGGGAGGGAGGGAGAAAACTATAGTGTCTCTGGGATCCACTATTTATATGCCTTATTCTGGAGCCCAGTGCGTTAGGGCTAGATGAAAGGAGCACTCCACAAATCTTCTAACAAGGCTGGTGAAAGGCCTCAGGACAGGGAACCCTCGCAGCAGAACTGCCATGTTTGCACAGTGTTTTGAAGATGTGAAGGGTTAGGAATGACTATGAGAGGTCATCACCTGTTCATAGTCCCAGGCATTTGCACACTGTGTTTAAAGCACTTGCATATTTTGTGCTTGTGGTTGTTTATGAACCCCACATTCTTCGAGGCAAATGGTCGGATTTGGCTGCTTAAATCACACCTGCAAAATGTGGGCAAGCAAAGCCTTCTTTTGTGGATGCGAACTGGTTTATTTAATGCATAGCTGGGCACCACCACATTAAATTACCTGGTATGTATACGTGTGTGTCAGTGTTAATTTTTACAGCCAAGTGTGGGCAATTTTTGTGGGTTAAATTTATGCAGACATATTTGAACATTTGTTTCTTGAAGTGAAGAATTTCTAAAAAAGCAGCAACTGGCTAAATGGCTAAATAAAGGTTTTGATACTGTAGAATGAATGGAGAGAAAGAAAAAGGGACATTACTTTCTGGTTTTGTTCCTTCCAGGTGCCAGATATCCTGGTTATAATATATAGCCACATGCCTACTATGCAGGAGGGCAGCTAGAAGCAGTTCCTGGTGGAGACAGTGTCCATTTTAGCTCACCGTGACCTAGGGACAGTGATCTCCAGGCTCCTCAGCGAACATCTGCTGATGGACAGGTATATACCACTACCTATTTCATTCATCTTTGTGAAACATGGATCCCTCAGCTTTACTGGGAGATGTAGGGCTTTACTTAAGCAGCAGACAGTTTGGGATAATTCCTAAAGGTTAATAGCCTGGGTCTTTCTGCAGGAAGGTCCAAGAGCATGTTAAGGTGGGGTGCGGAGAGAAATTAAGTGTCATTCTGTTTCCATTAAATAATAGCTGCTTTGATATCCTATCTTTACTGCTATAACTGGAGTGTATTGTTGGAAACATCTACCTCTCTAGACACCTGAATTGACCTCACTCTGGAAATTAGCAGTGGCTGTTGGTTTCCTGGTAGCATGACAGCTTCAAGTCCAAATCCCTGGCTAATTACAAAGAATAGAGCCAATATTATTCATCAGACCTCTGCTTGGTATCAGTGAGGGTGTGGCTGCTAGAATAGAGTTGCTGTCCTGGGTACTTAAAACTGGACTGGAAGCAGATCCATCATTTCATTTAAAGATCCCTAACTGAGTTATCAGTTATCAGTGCTGGAATCTAAGACCATAAGAATGGCCATACTGGATCAGACCAAAGGTCCATCTAGCCCAGTATTCTGTCTTCCGACAGTGGCCAATGCCACATGCTCCAGAGGGAATGAACAGAACAGTTAATTGTCAAGCGATCCGTCCCCTGTTGCCCAGTCCCAGCTTCTGGCAAACAGAGGGTAGGGACACCCTTTGTGAAGGGGACATAGGATGGCCACGAATATTTGGTCTCATAGTTGTATGTCCAGTGTGGCAAATTGCCGGCACTATTATGTTGTGTCCTGCACTTTCTCCTCTTGTGGGGGTGCAGGGCACCGTTTCTCACCCCTGAACTGGGGTATCAACTGTTCCATTGGTGTCCCAGAAAAGGGGAATGGAGAGGGAGGGACCTGGGCTCACCCTCTACTCCAGATCCCAGCCCAGGGGCCCTAGGGATAGCAGTGAACCACTTGAAGTAGCGATTCCTTCCCCTGGGCTACTTCCCTCTCCGGCCCTTCAGCTTGTGGGGCTTCCTGCCCTCTCTCCGCTTGGGCCAAGTTTCTCCCAACCCCTTGTGTCTCTAGAGTCCCTCTGCTCTGCACAAGCCGGGTTTCCCTTTACCTAGGGTCTTGGTCTTCTGGCCCGCCACAGCACTTCTCCAAACTGCTTCCTCCAAACTGCTCTCTGTTCCAACACCAAACCACTCTGCTTCAACTCCTCCAACTCTCTGATTGAAGCAGGGGGTGTTTATCAGATGACTGGCTTTAGGTGCTCTAATTGGCTTAATTGGTTTCAGGTGCTCTAATTAATCTGTAGCAGCCTCTCTTCCCTCTACAGGGACTAAGGCTCTCATCATCCTGGGGCTTACTTATCTCCCATCTATCACTCTCCTGCTGTCCTCTGCAGCATGGTGAGGCTGCAGTAAGACTAGGTCACTTAACCTACTTCTGTAACTGGAAACTCAATATTTAAACACGAGGAGCGTTAAAGGAGGACAGTACTCCTAACTTTCTCATCCCCGGCAAGGAGAAAATTTGGTCTTTACTTAAATATGACGTATTCAGTCTGAGCCACAAAAGCGTCCAGGGGTCACATGTAACTTCTGTTAAATTGCAGTGACACCACTGAGCTGTGGAGATCTCTGGGGGCAGACCCCTTGTTTGCCACTCAAGTCCTACAGGTCCTGATAGACAAGATAAAAACTACAACAAGCCAAGAAGGCAGCATCACCTCAGAGACTGAAATCGACAGGGATTTGGCAGCTGCTGAACCTCTCAAAGCAACATGTGCCATCTTTGAGGTGGTGTCAGCACTGCAGTCAAGCAAAGCTGTGCAGGAGCTGCTCCCAGAGTTGTTTCCTGTTCTCCTGCAGCAGATCAGCCAAACTCTTGGACAAGAGATGCCTTTGCCAATGATAAGCAGCCGGAGGGAATTCCGAAAAGACCTACAACATACTGAGGGCGACCCTTGCCGGCTTTCTATCCAAGCATTAGAGGCTGTGCTTTTCAAAGCTGGGAATGAGAGACTGGTGAGAGCGCTCAGGAAGCAGAGAACACGGAGTCTGCTTGAAAACCCCAAGACTCACCATGAGGGAGTGTGTCTGCTGGTGAGTGTTCTGCTAAGATCTGGACTAATAACACCTGAGATCTTACAGAGCCTCCTCCCCTGGGTGAATTCCCCAACAGAAAACCTCCGAGTCACCAGCACAGCTTTCCTTGCCCAGCTAATGAATGATCCCATGCTCAGGGAGAAGAAGTTCCTTAAGTCTGTCTTGAGCATCTTGGAAGAAAGGTCACATGATAGGAACAGCATTGTCCGCGAGATGGCTGTGAGAGGCCTGGGAAATTTAGTCTATGGGGCACTTGAGAAAAAGCACAAGAAGTTTCTGATGGTCATACTGACCAGGGCCTTAAATGACACTCCTGAAGTCATTGGTGAGAGCATGAAAGCACTGGCCAAAGTCCTGAAGGAGCTGAAAGAGAAGGACATAGGTTCTTCCTTCAGAGACCTCACCCAAAAGATCCGGACCTACTTTGACAATGAGGATGATGCTCTTTGCTCAAAGGCCTTTGTCCTATTTGGCATCCTGGCCCGGCTGACAAAGAGAAAATGGAAGACCTATTTCGCCGACCAGGTTAAACAGAGCTGGGTCACACTTCTGCTGCACCTGCAAGACCCAAACCCTGAGGTTTCAATGGTAAGACCAATAGTGACTTATTTACTAAGCAAAAGGAATCTTCCTCCCAATGCCAGGGGAGCTCTGCTATTCCTGCCTGCTGTGGAGGCCCAAATTCTCCCCTCAGTTCATTGCCCTCCTGCTGAGTCAGTTCCAGCCAGGTTGGTCCATGGCTGCCTCACCAGAATCCGGGAGAGGTCATGGGTCTGACCCTGACAGGTCTCTGTTCCTGTCTGTCTCTGCACCCCAGGCCCCTGCCTCCCCAGAACAGAGAGACCACAGCTATGCCTAGTGCAGCAGCGTTCATCGGTATATCTGTTCCCAAAAGACATTGATGCTACCTCCAGGTTTCAGTTGAAGCTCTCCTGTCTATTAGTCATTCCTGCATGTTTTCTGCCAATTACATCCAGATGAATCCCTTTTTTCATCCTGGAATAGATGAGCAGTCACGCAGATGAGTTCCCTTTGAATGAACATAGCACTCGGTAGGGAACAATTCAATGGTGTGAC